TTTATATTATAAATATTATAATTTATAATTTATGCAGATGTAACATAGGGGTTAACGCACTGCTTCTAGATGATCTGGATTCATTTATGTTTCAAACGGTAGGACATCAAGGTGTTAAGTATATTGCTCAAGCTATAGGCTTGCCTATATATCGTTATCCAACGTTTGGCAAAGCAAACGTGCAAGAGAAATATTATTATCCTACAGAAAGTGATGAAGTTGAAGATCTTTTTAAGCTTTTAAGTACAGTAAAGGTAAATTAACTTCTTTATTTTCTAAGCTATATACATATGACATCAATCTTTGTATCAATTCCAATAATTATTCATATATGTTTTTCCAAAACATATTTTTTCAGGAACGTGAAAATATAGAGGCTGTGTCAAGCGGTGCTATTCTTAGTGATTATCAACGAATTCGTGTGGAAAATGTGTAATTATTATTTATTTCTCCTATTTAAATCTGTAATATTATATAGTTGCTGCTACATTAATTTTTTTTCGAATATATTTTTTTTTGTAGATGCAATCGTTTAGGTCTTATTTCTTTATCGTATTTATGGAGACGGGACCAGGATGAGCTGTTAAATGAAATGATACAGAGTTCTGTTAACGCAATATTGATTAAAGTTGCGGCTTTAGGCCTTGAAATCAAACATTTGGGCAAATCTATATGTGAAATGCAACCTCATCTCATTAAAATAGTAAGTCAAGTTGTTTCTTATTTAATCAAATATGATATAATGAGTGTTTTTAATATTTTTTTTTAATTGTGTCGATAATGTACAGGATATCTAATTATTGATAAAACATTCGTGTTCAGATAGAGCGAACTAACTAAACTGATAATGAATTCGGTCATTTGCATTCCATTAGATTAGTGCATAATAAAAGCTATACACGAAATAAGTAAAGTTAAATGTAAAAGCAGGATTGGTAAGTTAACAGCTTTGAAAATTTAACTTAGTTAAGATAGAAGTTAGTTTATAGTGACATTAATTAAATTAAAAGTTAAATTAAAAAAAGTAATTAAAAAGTTAAAAGTTAAATTTGTTTTATTTCATGATTTCAAGTTAACTTTTCTTTTAACTAAATTAAAAAACTAAATTAAAAATTTAATTTTTTTAACTAACAAGAGACTCACATATGTATTTCATGGATTTTGATCAGCTTTTGCATGATTATTCTGAGCATCAAAAAAATATCCTGTAAAGCAGTAAATTGCACTTCTGCGTATTTTTCAAAAAATTCGTGATTTTAGGTCATAACGACAGATCGCTTTCAAATCTCTTTATTCTTTGCTTAAACGTAAATGAAATATTTGGATTTATTTAAAATTTAGTAACATATCTTCAATGGACACGAATGTATAAGCATATAATCCAAGCAGGGATCCGTATAACGCCAACTATCCAATCCTGATGTTAACATTTAAATATAATCATATAAAATTAAAAAGTTAAGACTCTAAAATGTAATTAAATGAAGTTAAAAATAATAATTAATTTTTTAACTTTTTAACTTATTATCCAACTTTGTGTAAAAGCATATGAAGGCTTATATATCTAATGATCATGCTATTTAGCAGAATATAAATATATTATTTCATTGATGTTGATATTATGCTATTGCATTTAGATATAGCAGCCTGTGATATGCATCAATACAGTGTAGTGTGAGTGACCGAATTCATCGCGAATCGAAAAGTCTTATTTTGCAACTTCTGCAATAATCAACTAGATAATAATTTCTAAAGATCGCCAAATGAATACGAAATGCCAGCGCGTGGCGAAATAGTACCGCCTAATGTAGGAAGGTATTATCTTTTGTACTTTGCCAATATCGCTTGTGGTAAACAATTGCACATTTAACAACATATGTAGCTGGATAGTCATATCTTGTCGCGTGCTTGCATTTGACAGTAAGCCGAATGTGCGATCTTTATTAATCTTGCTTAATTGTTGCGAAAATTGCAAAATGATACAGGACTTTTCGTCTCAATTTAATCCTTTTTATCTATAAGCACTTTGTCAATAATTAGGAGATATTCTGATCTTGATTATGGATATAATACATATAATGAAACAAAATTGAAAATATAGCTTCAAATTTATTTTTGATAATCTATAAATTTTATTTATAGAAAGAAAAATATGGAGTAAACATATGTGGAGAGGGAGGAGAATATGAAACTTTTACCTTAGATTGCCCCTTGTTTGCTAAAAGTATTGTAATGTAAGTATTACATGTTTACATTTATGTATTATGTACTTCTGAATAATTATATATATATATATATATATATAAATACTTCATTTTTTAATTTTTTTTAGTGATGAGTATGAGAGTATTGTAAATTCGAGGGATGACGTAGCGCCTGTAGGATACCTCGGATTTACAAAGATCCATTTAGAAGATAAGGACGTAAGTTTTTGGATATCACGTTGATAATTGTAAGACACTATCAAGTGTCATCAAAATGAAGACTTATTTTTTAGAATGGAGAATTGGAGAAGTTAAGTCTATCTGAGAGACTAAAAAATGTTTTGATAAAGTCCCCACAGGATTATATTGCTGAAATCATTGGTCCTGAGCTACATGATGGTTGTAATTTATCAGAAGATGAAAATGATGAGCATGCATGTGAAAGTAATAGTTTGAAGGCATCGAACTCAGGTAGAAAAAATAGTGTTTACTACCTGGAAAATTTGGAATCTTTTTATCCCCAAAAATCATGGATTTTTATAGAATTTTATTCGAATTTAGAGAAATTTTAAGAATTTTAAAGAAATTTTTTTTTACTTTTAAATTTATAAGTTCTATTTTTTTAAAACTTTTTTTCCTGATAATGTAAAATGTTAACAATTAGCAGTGAATATGGTTTTTAATAAAAAATTAGTGACATATCATAGAAGATACCAGAATATAATAATGATATTGTAGTTATGTCTTGCCTATATTTTATAGGTTTCGCAACTTTATAATTTTATATATTAGATTTAGAAAATGATAGATTTAGTCAAAATTGTATCTATTAGAATCCTTATCTTCTATTAGTTTTTAATATATTACTTTATTTGTATTGCTTGCATTCCAATTCGACATTTTTATTTCAAACCTCTTTGTTTCATTTAGAGATCAAATTCTCTGATCTCTTAGAATTTAAAAAAAAAATCTGAAAAATCCGGGAATTCTCATTTTTTTAAAAGATTTCAGCAAACATCATGAAAAAGAACAGAGAAAAATACATATAAAATATATCAAAATATATCTGTGTGAATATACAGGTCAGTTTCATCCTCCGAGCCCAATGGAGATTTTGTACGAAGATGAAGATTGCCCAGATGCTCCGGTTGTTAACAGAAATCAAACAGGATGGTTCTGGTTTGGAGGTATTGTAGGAAAACATCCGGATATAACACCTGCTACAGAAGAGGCACTGGAAAAACTAAGCAGTAAAATTCACATCTTAATCGCATACTTTTCGGCTTAGTAATTATTTAAATTAACAATTATTTCTTATTCGAAATTTAATTGATAACATAAAAAATCAATATTAATAAATCTTTTTTACATATAATATTTGTCTAATTATAGCTCTGATACAAAATGAAAATTTATGCCCATCTGACATAGTCGCGATAACATTGTACATAAAAGATATGTCGAATTACAAGGCTATAAACGAAGTATACGTTTCCTGGTTGGGTAAGAGAAATCCGCCAGTTCGTGTATGTGTAGAATGTCCTTTGAACGTACATGTCGCACTTGATGCGACAGCATATAAGGAGAGCCAAGAAAGCGGCGATAAATGGGCCTGTAAGCGACACACGATGCAGGTTCAAAGTATAAGCCATTGGGCACCTGCCAATATTGGTCCTTACTCTCAGGCTGTTCGTGTAAGTACAATTTCCAGATTCCGACTTTGCATTACATATCCTATGAGTGGAGATATTGATCTCCACTCATATGTAGAGAAAAAAATAAAAAAACTTTTATTATGTAATTTAAACCCAAGTTATCGATAGATACCTACTCACAATTTAATTGGCTCATCCGTTATTGAGGTGAGAGATCCGATGATCTCTCAACTCTTTGGTTCGCGTATAATAGGTCTCGGGAGTCTCATTGTATATATATATATATATATATATAAATTAATAAAATGTGTATTTTACTGACATCTGAGGCGTCCTGTTTTTTTAAGGAAATTGATCTTAAAATCTTTTTCAATATTATTATTTAGTCTTTTTGTAATCTTTTATATTAAAAAAATTTAAGACAATTTGTTTTATAAAAAATGTAATTTTCTGTACAGGTAGGTGATGTTATTTTAGTTGCTGGGCAAATACCTTTGGTGCCTGGCAATATGAATCTTCTAGACATGAATATTAAACGGCAGTGTCGTTTAACGTTGAGGCACATAGACCGTATTGTTAAGGCTATGGATGCGAAACTTCGAGATATAGTACAAGGTATCTGTTTCCTGACTCATTCTAATTACATAGCAGATGCGAGAAAAGAGTGGGAAAGGAGGACTAGAAATGCTATTATAGATTACGTTGTTGTACCAAATTTACCACGTGGTGCTCAAGTTGAGTGGTGTGTTTGGGCTCATAGGGATAATAACCGATTCGAGTGTAAGTATTCAAAGCTTATCTGACGAAGATATATTTGCTGTAAGTTAAATAGAAAATATTTTTTTTCTTCATTTTTTGTTATTTTTACAGTATAACTTACAGCAAATATATTTTTATATTTTTTAATTTAAATTAAAAGCGAGAGATGTATTATTATTATTACATATATCTTATTATTTATTGCAGACGAGGAAACAGGAAAATGTGTGGCTAATTTTAGGATAGCCATCAGGCGTAGATGGAATTATGAAAATAATGTTTCGGCGATTGTATGTTACATGTCTACCGGTAAATTTCTTTTAATAACTTATTTAAAATATATTTTTCGAACTTCTTTTCATAAATATATTTTTTTATCCATTTTAAA